CGGGGGAGCAGACACCACCTAGTGTAGGTGGGAGGGAGAAGTGAACTACCCCCGACTTAGTGTAGTGTACGAGCAGAGGTGGCCTACCTCTCCCCCCCCCCCCCACACTAATGAGGGTAACTGGAGCGCCGACTGTCCTCCTGTCGCTGTTTTTACCGTAGACAGGGACACCCCCGACACACGAATAAAAAGGTGAAAAAAATCAAGAGTGTCGTGAGTGCGTCCACTCGGCCCTTGGGGACGCCGAAGGACGCTAAAAAGGGACGTCGTTCCTCCGGGCACCGCAGCACTCATGCCCCCAACCCAACGCCAAGAATTCTTCAGCGCCATGAAGTGGGCGTTTAGGGGGGAACTTTCACAAAAGGCGTCCACCCATTCTACCCCCCCCCCCCCCCAGCCCGCCCCTTCTCCTGTACTGCCTACCTCACCTTTTGCCGCCCACATTCCCCTCCCCTCACCGCCCACTGACCCTCTAGCATCTTGAGGCCTTTTCACACTGGTGAGATTCTTGGGGGTGTGGTGGGAGGGTGTAACACAATGCTGGATAAGGGCACGCGCAGTGAAAAGAAAACAGCCAGCATAAATGTTATCAAACCCTAGCCACCATACGCTCACCATAAGCTCTCTCCACACAATAACTCACTATATAACGTGCCTGGGAAAAATATTAGACCCACAGACCTGAAAAATAGAAGAATTGACGTTTGACAATGGTCCAAGGACGGACCGAAAAGTCAATGCACTTGATAAAGGTCCAAGATGGATGGAAACGTCAATTCCTTTAGTTTGAATTGAGTGCTGAACTTGGTTCTCTGTGTTTCTTTTATTCTGTGCGTTTCTCTCTCTCAATGTGTTTAGTTTCTCCGTTCACTCGCGATATATTTCCTCACACCACCAACTGTTATCAGTCTTTATAAAATCTTCCTTGTCGGGATGTATTCTGCAACTTTATAAGGGACTGGCCCAACCGTTCTTACTTTCCTTACATTTCATGTCTTGGTCGGGATATTTGTCGTGGCGTGTTCATGGGGTCGGCGGTGTTGTCATAGCCTGGTAGTGGCTGGGTGCGCTAGGCTCCCACATCGCTCTCTCACTACCCACCAAAATACAAATTATAGAAATACTCGAACCAAAAATCTCACAAATAAATAAATATACAAAAATGGCTCGCTTTAACTACATAACAATAAATGGATATAATAAAACTATTTAAAGGACTTCACTAAGCAAAGAAAATGGTAGAGGCAAGTGAGGTCATTAGGCTGCAACTGACGCAGGACAACTCACTGTTCAACAAAGGACCACTATACAACCTGAACACAAGACCTCACGCGGTCAACACCACACCACCGCTCCCATAATCTCTGAAATACACAGTTACTTAACAAATAGCGGGGGGGGGGGGTCATTTTGAGAGAGAGAGAGAGAGAGAGAGAGAGAGAGAGAGAGAGAGAGAGAGAGAGAGAGAGAGAGAGAGAGAGAGAGAGAGATAGAGAGAGAGAGAGAGAGAGAACGGGGTGAGAGAGGAGAGTAAGAAAGCAGAGGCGAGTGAGAAAGGAGGGGGGTGAGAGAGGGAAGGAACACATTGAATTCTGACCAGGTAAGTAGCCAGTATTTGACCCCCTCCCCCCCCCCTCATGCTCTTAGCACCACCGTTCACAGTCAAACACCCCACCACATTTTGTAGGGGGGGGGGCGTGGTGCCTCTGTGATGTGGGGGAGGTGACTGTGATGTGGGGGGAGGGACTGACTGGGGGGAGGTGACTGGGATGTGGGGGGGGAGGGAGGGGAGGTAAGGTGCTAAATGTTGCTACGGGGCTGGAATGCAGTATCTGGGTAAGGTGTGAACAAAAATTCTAGCTGTATTGTACACACTTCAGCTCTTGGTCTCCGCCTCTAATCGTAAAGCAGCCGCACGTATCCTCCTGCCGCGCTGCCCCAAGGTCTCAACACTCCGGTAACATCATTCGAGATCATGAAATACGTCTCAAAAAGGCTAGAGTATCTTGGGCTATGTCTATCCTCGTAGCTCCAGGCCTCAGCCTCCATGGGGGGGGGGACACGTGGGTCTGTAGGACCTATCACTGTCTATGGGGGAGTGAAGTCTAGCTCTTGACCCCCGCCTCTGGCCATGAATCTGCTGCGTTTCAGTTTAAATGTTCTGACTTTCAAATGCTTTGTCGAATCTGACCTTAAAGATGTGGATGGAGGTGGCTTCCACACCTTCCCTTAGAGCAGCCACGGGGATGGAGATCAGGTGTTCGAGTCTCCTAGTGCCCAAGGTGAGTGTAATGTTACTTACATCCACGGTAGTGTGGTATACAAGTTACACGAAATATTCTCAATTGGAGACCACAATGACGCTACTTGACCAAGTGACGGTCACTATGCGCTAGAGGGCGTCGTCTCAAGAGGTTCCCGCTCATGTTACCTCTTGTCCAGCTGAAAGCTGAAGCCCCAAGTTACAGACAGCTGCAGACAGTCGCAGACTGAGGGTTGTCCGCTTTAAATCCATGACCAGGTCTTTTCTTCACTGTTCCTCCTCGACTTGACAAATTAAGTTAAGGGAAGTCAGTTCTCCCAACCCCAGAGTGTCGACACACATCGTTCTCCGTTCTTCAAGAACTGTTCAAGAAATGTTCGATTTGACCAACACAAATAGAAGATGGAATTAAACAACGCAGAACAAAATAAAAAGAAAAAAAAGATTAATCAAGATTACGATTACAGATAAAAGAAACTCGAGTGAAAGCCAGACGAAAAGAAAGGCGTCAAACACGACTGTAAGACACTGAAAGGTGTCACTCGACAACTCACCAAGGACGACACCGGAGCACCAAGAAAGTTGTCAAAAGATTAAAAAAGTGACGTTGAAAGAAAGAGACAAAATTATCCAAGGGAGAAACCGGAGGAGTAAAAGGCAGAGAACATTGAACATCTAACAAAAGAAATGAAAATCATCGGAGAGGAGGCAAGAAGAAGAAGAAGCAACTGTCAACAGGCTGTACAAGCACAGGTGAACACATTCACCTCCGGAGACACTGCAAGAGTAGGGAGAGGAAGGCGGGAAGGCTGGCCACAAGCACTAGACACAGACACTGCGGCGCTCATGGCCATAGGAGCCACGTCAATGAAGGCAGCGACGTCATTGAAGGCAGTGACGTCACTGAAGGCAGCGAAGTCACTGAAGGCAGCGACGTCACTGAAGGCAGCGACGTCACTGATAGGCAGCGACGTCACTGATAGGCAACGACGTCACTGAAGGCAGCGACGTCACTGAAGGTAGCGACGTCACTGAAGACAGCGACAAAGGACAGCCCGTTCTCGCCAGCGTCCCCAACGTCAAGAAACTGTCGTACTACAGGAGTACCTTATCCTAACCTACGAAAGGACCCCACGAATTGAAAACGGGACGTTATGTCAATTCCGCGAGCCGCTACCCGTTTTCCAGTACGACAATTTATGGCCTAACATAAAGTATACGTCAAAATGCGACAGTGTTATTAGGAGGCCGGGGTTGGCCAGGAGGCAGGCACTGGCGCGGACGAGAGCGGCGATCAAGCACCACAGTGTAGATATGTAGTGTAGATATGACAAGAGCCCGATAGGCTCAGGAAGCCTGTTGATTGACGGTTGAGAGGCGGGACCAAAGAGCCAGAGCTGACAGCTAGGTGAGTACAGGTGACAATACCTCAGAAGCCATGAGGACCGCAGGTGAAGCAAGCACAAGATGGCCAAGATGGTGGCAGAAGAACTGTGAGCCGTCAGGAAAGATACCACATGCATAGGCGGCACACATGAGCTCCGGGGCATGAGCTGAACACCATCTCACTATAAGAACGAGGGTTGAAATAGCCTAAGCTACTCTATCCTCTTCAGATGCATTTCATTATCTCGATAAACGTATTTGAACCTCAACTATATCCAGCTAGAAAGACAACCACATGGGCACAGGGACCACTGGGGATGCTTGCCAGTGAAACCCGAGACAGTGGACGGTCAATGGACTCAAATACAAGTCTTGTACACGAACCCGAACACGCAACACGGAGACAATATCCTGCATGGTTGGCTCCTGACGGTGAACCTACAGGGTCCTCCTGACGGCGGACCTACAGGGTCCTCCTGACGGCGGACCTACAGGGTCCTCCTGACGGCGGACCTACAGGGTCCTCCTGACGGCGGACCTACAGGGTCCTACTGACGGCGGACCTACAGGGTCCTCCTGACGGCAGACCTACAGGGTCCTCCTGACGGCGGACCTACAGGGTCCTCCTGACGGCGGACCTACAGGGTCCTCCTGACGGGGGACCTACAGGGTCCTCCTGACGGGGTACTTACAGGGTCCTCCTGACGGGGGACCTACAGGGTCCTCCTATAGCGAACACACACACATCCCCCAACATCATGAACGTCTGTATTTACCAGGTGCGGGGGAGAGAGAGCCACTCACACCGTCTTAGGTGAGTATGGAACTTTTGTCTCGATGTACACACCAGAAACTTGTTTGCAATCTCCCCTGGAGCGGGTAAACATTGGGCTTAGAAGAGGGAATATAAATACCGATACTGAAGGGGGGAGAGGACGAGGTGATGTTAAAGGTGAAGGGGGGGGGGGGGGGGGGGGTAAAAGAGGGGGGATGAGAGAGGGGGAGGATGCTGCCCATGTAGAGGGGGGAGAGGTTTATAGAGGGAACACTAACGTCTTGAAACATTAACGAGCCGAGAAAAGCGTCGGCGGCGTTTAGTGGAGCAAACACGGGGCCACTAATTAACCACCTGTCCCTCACCTTGTTTGCTGCACACACACACACGCCGCCCCCACACCTCTGCTATGCTGCGCCGCCCCCGCCCCCACACCTCTGCTATCCGCCGCCCCGCGCTGTGCTGCGCCACCCAGCCCCACACCTGCTCTTCGCCTCTCCCTCCACCACATTACAATTTTCCCACACAGGAACAGCTTGAAAAGCGTCAGGTGTGGCAGACTAATGGGTGGTGAACACCACCTACACCACAAGGGGTACAGGGGACGGTCACCACCTACACCACAAGGGGTACAGGGGACCGGTCACCACACCTACACCACAAGGGGTACAGGGGACCGGTCACCACCTACACCACAAGGGGTACAGGGGACCAGTCACCACCTACACCACAAGGGGGAGACACCAACACGTGACGGTGGGGGATTGAACGCCGACCTGAATGAAGCGAGACCGTCGCTCTACCGTCCAGCTCCAAATAGTTGGACACAAAGCTGAACTTGAAAAAGTGCAGAAGTTTGCAGCGAAATAAATGTCTGGATTAAGAGCACTAAGCTAAATGCTTAAGTAATTCTCACTTACCATAAAGATAAAAGAAAGAAGGAGGGTGGGGGGGGGATGAAATGATCACAGCATATAAGGTAGATAAACCCAGCCTGTCTAAATTGAGAGAAAGTATTGAGGGCAAGTAAGGTTAGAGGAGCAATGACAATTTGGACACAATCTCTCACATAAATGGTCCCCCCCCCACCCCAACCTCCCCCATAGACCAAAACCATGACATTACAAGGTAGACTTATACCGAAGACGCTGTTGACGACATTATGAGCACGCACGCGCACACACGCGCACACACACACACACGCACACGCGCGCGCACACACACACACACGCACACGCGCGCACACGCGCACACACACGCACGTACACTCATAAACAAGGGAAGAAACTGGATAATTAAGATAATAGCACTTAAAGCCACCATGAGTCAGGGTCTTGTCTGAGCGCCCACCCACACTAATATTGCTGAGAGCTATTACTGGCGGAGGGGGGGGGGGGGGGGGGGAGGAGGGTGTGAGGGTGTGTGAGGTGTGTGTTTAGTGAGGGGATTGAGTGTGTGAGGGGAGAGGGAGGGGTGTGTGGGGGGGAGTATCTGTGTCTAGGGAAGCGATTGGTGTGGAAGGGGTTGTGGGGGAGCGAGTAGCTGGTTAGGAAGGGGTGAAGAAGTGCTGGGGGGGGGGGGGGGGGGTTACACACCAAGATAAAGTACTCACCTGGCAACAAACATACCCAAACATTCATCAGTAGATAACAATGCACTCCACTACACATCCCCCCGCCCCCCCCCCCCCCCCCCACCATCATGATAGGTAGAAGAGGCTCTACCAGTCGGAAACGTGACATTCTAGCGGCGTTACTTTGCGGGCGAGGGGGTGAAGGGGGAGTTGTCAAGTTCACATAGCACCAGCGTCGCTCCAGGGATGGTGGTTCACACCTAACACCTTGATCATCCACCTCGCCTCTGCTTCGACGTACGTGTGTGTAATTACCTAAGTGTAGTTACAGGATGAGAGCTACGCTCGTGGTGTCCCGTCTAACCCAGCACTCTTTGTCATATAACGCTTTGAAACTACTGACGGTCTTGGCCTCCACCACCTTCTCACCTAACTTGTTCCAACCGTCTACCACTCTGTTTGCGAAAGTGAAATTTCTTATATTTCTTCGGCATCTGTGTTTAGCTAGTTTAAATCTATGATTTCTTGTTCTTAAAGTTCCAGGTCTCAGGAAATCTTCCCTATCGATTTTATCAATTCCTGTTACTATTTTGTATGTAGTGATCATATCACCTCTTTTTCTTCTGTCTTCTAGTTTTGGCATATTTAATGCCTCTAACCTCTTCTCGTAGCTCTTGCCCTTCAGTTCTGGGAGCCACTTAGTAGCATGTCTTTGCACATGTGTGTGTGTGTGTGTGTGTGTGTGTGTGTGTGTGTGTGTGTGTGTGTGTGTGTGTGTGTGTGTGTGTGTGTGTGTCCGTCCCTGGCGTGCCCGAGTGTGTGGCATCGTCCAGGCACGCGGGCATCACTTGGGTATAAGCACCTGTGCCCTGCACCTCTCCTCGAGTCATGATCACCCCATTAGTGATACCTCAGTATGAGCTTCCTGGCGCACCAACAACGTGAGTAATAACGACGATGACGCAGGACATTAATCAAGGAGTGTGAGCCAAGAACTTGCGTTACCCTAAGACTGAAACAAGTGTTCTAGGCGGCCACAACTTACCAGCACTAGAATCATGGTGCTCCTAAGTTGCATGTTGGAGACCGGACACTACTGCGCCATGGTGTTGGCTCCTGTGGTGGAGATGACGGTGGTGGTGGTGGTGGTGGTGGTGGTGGTGACGGTGGTGGTGGTGGTGGTGCGGGCCTAGGGTCGACGTGCCACCCTCTGCTCTCTGCCACCAGGTCGCAGCAGCGTCGTGGGGTGCCCTGGGGGGTGGGGGAGGAGGAAAACAAAACACACGTTAGATACATGTATATGTAACATTAACAATTGTCTAACTAGCTTCAAAAGATCGTCACTTCCTTAAACAAACTACGGGGTTCAGTATGTGTCTCTGTAACCCTTTCCCCCCACCGCCCACACGATGGGTATGGGGCGCATATAAAGAAATTAAATTGAACTTAAACAATCAGGCAGTGTTAAAGGACTTGACCCGCTCATAAACCTTTTAGCTTGGCACATGTGTAAGCTAAAAAATATTGCTTTTCATTCCTAAAATGGTGTAAAACATGTATGTTCATCACAATGACTCCGAGGCGAGAGACCATCTGTGTGGAGAGCGACTCCTGGCGACGGGATCAGCAACTAACGTATAAAATGGGGGTCGTAGAGTGTTCCTAAAATGTCCTGGTATGAAATTAACTTTAAAAACTAAAGGTTAATAATAATTAACAAAGAATTTAATAATATTTTAATAAGATCTCGTAAGACCCGATCTAAGACATCCTATGTTAATCTGCGATTTTCTTTTTACACTGACAATTAAGTAAATTAAGTACTCAAAAACAGTATTTAATTAAAAATAATTAACTCATGTGCCACTTGGGAAAAGAATAATATTATAATATGTATGTATGTATATATGTATATATTACTATATATATATATAATATTATATATATATATATATATATATATATATATATATATATATAATATATATATATATCGCTTTCTTTTCCAGCGCCTCAGTGTGGCGATCCAAGAGGAAATGCTCACTACATCCATGGTTCCTGCTATGTGAGGAGCTGGAGAGCTCTACAACTTGTGACAAGCAGCCTTGTACCTTGCTGTAACCAATGGTGTAACCCTTTTTGTGTAATGAAATTTTAAATTTAAGTTAGACATATATACACATATACCAAAAGAATAGGGGTGGTAGGAGAAGAAAATATCAAGTGTTCAGTGAGTATCCACAAGGTCTTCTCTGAGTACTCTTTATTTTCTTCTCCGAGGCTATGGGTCCCTACACTTGCACCATAGGTGGTACCCCCTTTTAGGTATAATAAAATGATATTATATATATATATTATATATATATAATAATATAATATATATATATATATATATATATATATATATATATATATATTATTATGACAGCGGAAGTTTTAAAGATTTCGACTTTAAACAATAAGACTAACGAGGCGTTAACTCCCCCCACAACAACTAGAGACAATATTAACATGCTAAATTTAGACTCGAAAGCCGATACCTTTCGTGAAACACCGACATGGTTGTTTCAGGGGTCGCTACCATGGGTGCTTCAGGGGTCGCTACCATGGGTGCTTCAGGGGTCGCTACCATGGGTGCTTCAGGGGTCGCTACCATGGGTGCTTCAGGGGTTGCTACCATGGGTGCTTTCAGGGTCGCTACCATGGGTGCTTCAGGGGTTGCTACCATGGGTGCTTCAGGGTTGCTACCATGGGTGCTTCAGGGGTCGCTACCATGGTGCTTCAGGGGTTGCTACCATGGGTGCTTCGGGGTTGCTACCTGGGTGCTTCAGGGGTCGCTACCATGGGTGCTTCAGGGGTCGTGCTACCATGGGGTGCTTCAGGGGTTGCTACCATGGGTGCTTCAGGGGTTGCTACCATGGGTGCTCAGGGGTCGCTACCATGGGTGCTTCAGGGGTTGCTACCATGGGTGCTTCAGGGTCGTGCTACCATGGGTGCTTCAGGGGTCGCTACCATGGGTGCTTCAGGGGTCGCTACCATGGTGCTTCAGGGGTTGCTACCAGGGGTGCTTCAGGGGTCGCTACCATGGGTGCTTCAGGGTTGCTACCATGGGTGCTTCAGGGGTTGCTACCATGGGTGCTTCAGGGTCGCTACCATGGGTCTTTCAGGGGTTGCTACCATGGGTGCTTTCAGGGGTTGCTACATGGGTGCTTCAGGGGTCGCTACCATGGGTGCTCAGGGGTCGCTACATGGGTGCTTCAGGGGTCGTGCTACCATGGTGCTTCAGGGGTTGCTACCAGGGTGCTTTAGGGTTTGCTACCATGGGTGCTTCAGGGGTCGCTACCATGGGTGCTTCAGGGTTGCTACCATGGTGCTTCAGGGTCGCTACCATGGTGCTTCAGGGTTGCTACCATGGGTGCTTCAGGGGTTGCTACCATGGGTGCTTCAGGGGTCGCTACCATGGGTGCTTCAGGGGTTGCTACCATGGGTGCTTCAGGGGTTGCTACCATGGGTGCTTCAGGGGTCGCTACCATGGGTGCTTCAGGGGTCGCTACCATGGGTGCTTCAGGGGTCGCTACCATGGGTGCTTCAGGGGTTGCTACCATGGTGCTTCAGGGTCGCTACCATGGGCGCTTCAGGGGTCGCTACCATGGGTGCTTCAGGGGTCGTGCTACCATGGGTGCTTCAGGGGTTGCTACCATGGGTGCTTCAGGGGTCGCTACCATGGGTGCTTCAGGGGTCGCTACCATGGGTGCTTCAGGGCCGCTACCATGGGTGCTTCAGGGCCGCTACCATGGGTGCTTCAGGGTCGCTACCATGGGTGCTTCAGGGTTCGTGCTACCATGGGTGCTTCAGGGGTCGCTACCATGGGTGCTTCAGGGGTCGCTACCATGGGTGCTTCAGGGGTCGTGCTACCATGGGTGCTTCAGGGTCGCTACCATGGTGCTTCATGGGTCGTGCTACCATGGGTGCTTCAGGGGTCGTGCTACCATGGGTGCTTCAGGGGTCGTGCTACCATGGGTGGCTTCAGGGGTCGTGCTACCATGGGTGCTTCAGGGTCGTGCTACCATGGGTGCTTCAGGGTCGTGCTACCATGGGTGCTTCAGGGGTCGTGCTACCATGGGTGCTTCAGGGGTCGTGCTACCAGGGTGCTTCAGGGGTCGTGCTACCATGGGTGCTTCAGGGGTCGTGCTACCATGGTGCTTCAGGGGTCGTGCTACCATGGGTGCTTCAGTGGTCGTGCTACCATGGGTGCTTCAGTGGTCGTGCTACCATGGGTGCTTCAGGGGTCGTGCTACCATGGGTGCTTCAGTGGTCGTGCTACCATGGGTGCTTCAGTGGTCGTGCTACCATGGGTGCTTCAGGGGTCGTGCTACCATGGGTGCTTCAGGGGTCGTGCTACCATGGGTCACCACTATGGGCGCGTGTAACAAACCTCAGTTGCTGAATTTCGTTAACAAAATATATTTATAAAACATCGTAAGAGTGAACGCATTTTAATTAAGGCGTCAGGTATGGACTATTTTTACCTAAGTTTACTGTAAGTGAAAAAATCAATCCCAGCAAGCCTAAAGTCACTTGCCACGTGGCACCTGTTGAAATCCGGATATTAAATCCGGATTTCACTGAAAACGTCAACACGCCTTCATACAATGCACTCCGGACGCATCTACGGGAACAGCGTCCCTCAAAACAAGAGACAAACACAGTGGAAAAGTTCTTCTTCGGTATCCAGATTCTTCTTACGTGTGAAACGACTTTTTTCAGGAAGTAGAAGACAATGATTAGAACTAATATTGACTAAAGCTCCCGCGCGTGCGGGCGCACTCACGGGCCCCCTCACCCCCCCGCCACACATACACTTTACAGGTCTTCTAAGCCAAGCAGACAGCGCTTTGCAGTCGTAGTCCTAAGGGTCCGAGTTCGATTTCCGGCGGAGCCGGAAACAAATGGGCAGTTTCTTTCACCCTGATGTCCCTGTTTACCTAGCGTGCCATCATGCCGGACCAACCGGGCTGTGGTGGGTATGTGGCCCTGCAACAGCCTGGTGGACCAAACTCTCACAAGTCCGCCTGGCCTCGGGCCGGGTTTGGGGAGTAGAAGAACTCCCAGAACCCCATCAACCAGGTATCAAGCAAGCAGTAAATAGGTACCCGAGAGTTTAGACAGCTGCTACGGGCTGCTTCCTGGGAATGTTTGGGCGTGTGTTTTATATATATATATATATATATATATATATATATATATATATATATATATATATATCTATATAGAGAGAGAGAGAGAGAGAGAGAGAGAGAGAGAGAGAGAGAGAGAGAGAGAGAGAGAGAGATAGAGAGAGAGAGAGCGAGAGGAAAAAAGAGTTGTTTAGAAAGGCGGCGTCCAAGAGCTAATAGCTCGATCTTGCAGGCACAAATAGTAAATACACACAATTATATTTTATTATATATATATATATATATAATATATATATATATATATATATAATATATATATATATATATATATATATATACGATACGATAACGATAACGTATATATCAACGTCATTACAGAAAACTCGTAGATATGCTATACCGCGCCACCAGGAGAGCAGAGTGAAAGTACTGGGACGTGCCTATAAGAGTGTGCCGGTACACACACATCACTCCGTCACTCAGATCATCCCCTCTTTTACCCTCAGTGAGAACAGCGACAACAGAATAAATACCTTTGACACCTCACGACCAACCATATAAAACTCTTAAACAATATTCAACCTTTTAATGGCGAGGAGTCCTTCGTCGGCGACTCCTCCGTCGGTATATATATCCCAAGGACGTGGTTTGTGTAGGACCTACAGCAAGCGAGGTCTTGAGTCACTAGAGAGGGTTCGAGGGAGGGCAGGGGGAGGAGGAGGGCTGGATGTGCCCTCACCGTCAAGAGGGGAACTGTAAGGGGGCAGCGTCCTGAGAGAGGTGGAAGGACCCAGCGGCGAGGGGACTTCTCATTTAGGGATCACCTTCTCCTGGACACCAAGCACTTGGATGTGTGTGTGTGTGTGTGTTGTGTGTTTTATGTGGGGGATGTATCTGTAGATAGTAGCTTAAATGCCTGCGTGAATTCTACGTCTGAAGTGCCTGCGTCGGTGCTACGTCTGGGGTGCCTGCGTCAGTGCTACATCTGGGGTGCCTGCGTCAGTGCTGCGTCTGGGGTGCCTGCGTCAGTGCTACATCTGGGGTGCCTGCGTCAGTGCTGCGTCTGGGGT